AATTTTAAACACACAGGTTTAGATTATTTCTAATTGTTAGTAGAATTGAAAAAAGACATGGACTTTTTGCTACTTTTAAGTAGCAAGGTTTATGCCTTTGATGCAATCATTTATCTGTAAATTAAATTTGTTGGAAAAAATGCTATATTAAAGGCTTAAAATAATGATCACTGGCCAAAACAAGTCTATGAGCAAGGCAATGAACAGTAAAAATGAGAGTATTTGCATTTTTTGCAAGTGTTGTAACACCTTTCTTCACACCAGTCATGACTGAAGCACCATCAGATGCAAATCCTATCATTTTAGACATATCCATTCCTTTTTCATGTAAAGCTGACTGTAAGCTCAGTCTGTGCCAAAAACTTTTTGAAGCACTAAAAAATCCTAGCCCGAATTTCATTTTACTAGACCTGAAAAAATTTGTGTCACCGGTGAGGATCACGAAGTGATCGGAACCTCCCAGGAGGGTTTGGGGGCATGCCCCCCAAGAAAATTTTGGAAAATTAGACGTAAAATCCTGCATTCTTAGGTTACATTTTTATACGACCGCAAAAAAATTTTGTGGTCGTATATTGGTATGACGTTGGCGTCGTCGTCGTCGTCGTCGTCGTCGTCGTCCGGCGTCGTCGTCCGAATACATATTGGTTTTCGCACTCTAACTTTAGTTTAAGTGAATGGATCTTTTTGAAATTTGACCATAAGGTTAAATACCACAAAAGGAAGGTTGGGATTGATTTTGGGGGTTATGGTACCAACAGTTAAGGAATTAGGGGCCAAAAAGGGGCCAAAAATGAGCATTTTCTAGTTTCCAGACAATAACTGTGGAACGGTGTATGGATCTCTCTGAAATTATACTACAAGTTTCCATACCACAAAGGGATGGTTAGGATTTGCTTTGGGGGGTTATGGCTCAAACCGTTTAGGAATTAGGGGCAAAAAAGGGGGAAAAACAAGGTTGTCCTGGTTAATGGACAAATACTTTAGTACAAAACATAATTTAAAGCAGTGTAAGGGAGATAAATCAAATACATCATTGAAATTATCTCCCTTACACTGCTTTTAAATTATGTATAAAGTAATGGTTAATGAACAATAAAGATAATCTAAAACAGTGTAAGGGAGGTAATCCAAATACAACGTTTTGGTTACTTCCCTTACACTGCTTTTAAATTATGTTTAAAGAAATGCATATTTATAAAGGAAGACCAGTAAAAATATCTGCAAATGTTTTCATCTTTTTTTTTTACAAAAAAATCCATATGAAAGATTTGACACTATATTTTTATTAATTCTATTATAAAATAGATTAAGTTAGCACTCTGGTAAATTTAAATGGGTAATTATGGTTGCCAACTCCATTGGAAATTTGAATTGAGATTATGACCATATCTTGAGGGAAAGAATTTTTTTGGGGGAAAAAGGGGGGGGGGATAAAAAGAAATTGTGGGGGGCCAATTTTTTCTCATTTCAGATTTCAGAAATTAAAAAGAATTATTCTTCAAATATTATTTTTTTTTCAAATTTCAAATATTGAAAAATTTCAAGAAGTAATCTTTAATTGCACAGTATGGCGCATTAGATTTGTAAAATCTTTGATCACATTTATTTATTTGTTATGCCGAATCTAACAGTGTATTTAGATTTTTAATTTTGGGTCCAGTTTTCAAATTGGTCTACATTAATGTCCAAAGGGTCCAAAATTAAACTTTGTTTGATTTTAGCAAAAATTGAATATATGAGGTTCTTTGATATGCTGAATCTAAACATGTATTTAGATTTTTGATTTTTGGCCCAGTTTTCAAGTTGGTCCAAATTGGGGTCCAAAATTAAACTTTGTTTGATTTCAACAAAAATTGAATATATGGGGTTCTTTGATATGCTGAATCTAACCATGTATTTAGATTTTTTATTTGTGGACCCCGTTATCTAATTGGTTCATATTGAGGTCAAAAGGGTCCAAAATTAAACTTTGTTTGATTTCATCTAAAATTGAATTATTGGGGTTCTTTGATATTCCAAATCTAACCGTGTATTTAGGTTTTTAATTTTGGGTCCTGTTTTTTAAATTGGTCTACATTGAGGTCCAAAGGGTCCAAAATTAAACTTAGTTTGATTTTAACAAAAATTGAATTCTTGGGATTCTTTGATTTGCTGAATCTAAACATGTGTTTAGATTTTTGATTATGGGCCCAGTTTTCAAGTTGGTCCAAGATAGGGTCCAGTATTTAAACTTTGTTTGATTTCAACAAAAATTGAATATATGGGGTTCTTTGATATGCTGAATCTAAACATGTATTTAGATTTTTGATTATGGGCCCAGTTTTCAAGTTGGTCCAAATTGGGGTCCAAAATTAAACTTTGTTTGATTTCAACAAAAATTGAATATATGAGGTTCTTTGATATGCTGAATCTAACCATGTATTTAGATTTTTTATTTGTAGGCCCCGCTATCAAATTGGTTCATATTGAGGTCAAAAGGGTCCAAAATTAAACTTTGTTTGATTTCATCAAAAATTGAATTATTGGGGTTCTTTGATATGCCAAATCTAACCGTGTTTTTAGATTTTTAATTTGGGTCCCGTTTTTTAAATTGGTCTTCATTGAGGTCCAAAGGGTCCAAAATTAAACTTAGTTTGATTTTAACAAAAATTGAATTCTTGGGGTTCTTTGATATGCTGAATCTAAACATGTATTTAGATTTTTGATTATGGGCCCAGTTTTCAAGTTGGTCCAAGTTGGGTCCAAAATTAAACTTTTTTTGATTTCAACAAAAATTGAATATATGGGGTTCTTTGATATGCTGAATCTAACCATGAATTTAGAATTTTTATTTGTGGGCCCCGCTATCAAATTGGTTCATATTGAGGTCAAAAGGGTCCAAAATTAAACTTTGTTTGATTTCATCAAAAATTGAATTATTGGGGTTCTTTGATATTCCAAATCTAACCGTGTATTTAGATTTTTAATTTTAAGTCCCGTTTTTTAAATTGGTCTACATTAAGGTCCAAAGGGTCCAAAATTAAACTTAGTTTGATTTTAGCAAAAATTGAATTCTTGGGGTTCTTTGATATGCTGAATTTAACAAAAATTGAATATATGGGGTTCTTTGATATGCTGAATCTAACCATGTATTTTGATTTTGGACATTGGACCATAATAGGTAAATTAAAAAAATTCAAGTTCTTAGACCACATTCTTTCTGTGTCAGAAACCTATGCTGTGTCAAATATTTAATAACAATCCAAATTCAGAGCTGTATCAAGCTTGAATGTTGTGTCCATACTTGCCCCAACTGTTCAGGGTTCGACCTCTGCGGTCGTATCAAGCTGCGCCCCAGCGAAGCATTTTATTGTATCTGGAAGTGAATATATATAACTTATCAAAAAATGTTGTTTTTTTCTCCAGGTCAAATGAAAAATTCTCATTTTCTCCAATAGAAAATTAATATAGTTATTTTGCCAAAAAAAAAAAGTCTTTTTTCTATAGACTTGTACTACCATTTCAAGTAAAAAGACATTTTTAGCACTAGTAAATTATTACTCAACCTAGGGATTGTTACTATTTTGGGGGGAAATTCCCTTATTTAATGGATGTCCCCAACCTGTTTATTCCTAATATTTCATTTTTATACGACCGCAAAAATTAAAAATTTTTTGGTCGTATATTGGTATGACGTTGGCGTCGTCGGCGTCGTCGTCGTCGTCCGAAGACACATTGGTTTTCGCACTCTAACTTTAGTTTAAGTAAATGGTACTCCATGAAATTTTACCATAAGGTTCAATACCACGAAAGGAAGGTTGGGATTGATTTTGGGGGTTATGGTACCAACAGTTAAGGAATTAGGGGCCAAAAAGGGGCCAAAAATAAGCATTTTTGTAACTTCCAGACAATAACTTGTGTGTAAGTGTATGGATCTCTCTGACATTGTACCACAAGGTTCCATATCACAAAGGGAAGGCTGTAATTGATTTTGGGGGTAATTGCACCAAAATTTTAGGAATTAGGGGCCAAAAAAGGGGCAAAAAACAAGCATTTTTCTAGTTTCATGACAATAACTTGTGTTCAAGTGTATGGATCTCTCTGAAATTGTACTGCAAGGTACCATACCACAAAGGGAAGGCTGGGATTGAGTTTGGGGTTGATGAATCATAAGGGAGTTAAAAAAACTTGGGGGAGGGGGGGGTTTCTTTTTTTTTCTTTTTTTCCTTTTTAGCTCACCTGACCTGAAAGGTCAAGTGAGCTTTTCTCATCACTTGGCGTCCGTCGTCCGTAAACTTTTACAAAAATCTTCTCCTCTGAAACTACTGGGCCAAATTTGACCAAACTTGGCCACAATCATCATTGGGGTATCTAGTTTAAAAAATGTGTCCGGTGACCCGGCCAACCAACCAAGATGGCCGCCATGGCTAAAAATAGAACATAGGGGTAAAATGTAGATTTTGGCTTATATCTCTGAAACCAAAGCATTTAGAGCAAATCTGACATGGGGTAAAATTGTTTATCAGGTCAAGATCTATCTGCCCTGAAATTTTCAGATGAATCGGACAACCCGTTGTTGGGTTGCTGCCCCTGAATTGGTAATTTTAAGGAAATTTTGCCGTTTTTGGTTATTATCTTGAACATTATTATAGATAGAGATAAACTGTAAACAGCAATAATGTTCAGCAAAGTAAGATCTACAAATAAGTCAACTTGACCAAAATGGTCATTTGACCCCTTAAGGAGTTATTGCCCTTTATAGTCAATTTTTTACAGTTTTCATAAATTTTGTAAATTTTTGTAAATTTTTACAAAGTATTTTCCACTGTAACTACCGGGCCAAGTTCATTATAGATAGAGATAATAGTAAGGAGCAAGAATGTTCAGTAAAGTAAGATCTACAAACACATCACCATCACCAAAACACAATTTTGTCATAAATCCATCTGTGTCCTTTGTTTAATATGCACATAGACCAAGGTGAGCGACACAGGCTCTTTAGAGCCTCTAGTTTTAAATTTTCCATTTTAAGTTGGTTATTTCTGATTTATATTTAAAAGCAAATAATAAAGATATGGTAGGAGATACACACCAAACAGGATGTGTAAATTATTATATAATAAGTATTGTGCAATAGCAAGAAATTTTCAATTGCACAGTACTGCACAATAGCAAGAAATCTTCAATTGCACAGTATTGCGCAATAGCAAGAAATCTTCAATTGCACAGTATTGCGCAATAGCAAGAAATATCCAATAGCACAATATTGCGCAATAGCAAGAAATTGTCAATTGTACAGTATTGCGCAATAGCAAGAAATATTCAATTGCACAGTATTGTGCAAAAGAAGATACTTCATATAAATTGCTTATTTCTTGATCAATTTCAATGGGGTTTTTATTCTTGAATTCTTGGGGTTCTTTAATATGCTGAATCTACCCGTAACCGTGTATTAAGTTTTTGGATTTTGGGCCCTGTTTTTAAATTGGTCCACATTGAGGTCCAAAGGGTCCAAAATTTAACTTTGTTTGATTTCATCAAAAATTGAATTATTGAGGTTCTTTGATATGCGGAATCTAACCGTGTATTTAGATTCTTAATTTTTGGTTCCGTTTTCAAATTGGTCTACATTAAGGTCCAAATGGTCCAAAATTGAACTTAGTTTGATTTTAACAAAAATTGAATTTTTAGGGTTCTTTGATATGCTGAATCTAAACATGTTTTTAGATTTTTGATTATGGGCCCAGTTTTCAAATTGGTCCAAATCGGGGTCCAAAATTAAACTTTGTTTGATTTCAACAAAAATTGAATATATGGGGTTCTTTGATATACTGAATCTAACCATGTATTTAGATTTTTGATTTTTGGGCCCCATTAATAACTTTGTCCACATTGAGGTCAAAAGGGTCCAAAATTAAACTTTGTTTGATTTCATCAAAAATTGAATTCTTGGGGTTCTTTGATATGCTGAATCTAACCATGTATTTAGATTTTGGATATTGGACCATAATAGGTGAATGTCCAATTTAAAATTTTTAAGTTCTTAGACCACATTCATTCTGTGTCAGAAACCTATGCTGTGTCAAATATTTAATCACAATCCAAATTTAGAGCTGTATCAAGCTTGAATGTTGTGTCCATACTTGCCCCAACTGTTCAGGGTTCGACCTCTGCGGTCGTATCAAGCTGCGCCCTGCGGAGCATTTTATTTTTTTTGTCGTAAGAAGGATTTGTATAATACAAATCCTTGGTCTTAAGTTAATTCCCTGGAAGGGGGGGGGCCTTCATTTCTGTATTCTTTATTTTTTTATGCCATTTTTCTCCATTCTTTATATTTTAACACTTCATTTTTCTCAATTCTTTATTTTTTGGTCAATTTTTCTCTAAAACAAATATTCTTTATGTTTTTTGCCAAACATTCTCTATTCTATAAACCCCTATCAACACCCTCCTTCACTCTCCATAATTTTGTTTGAAATAATAAAAATACCTAGATCGTTTTTCAGCATAGCTTTTTTCAACTCGAAACTTCTCTGGATATTCGTGTATGCATTTTCAACTTTTCAATGTTTTACCTGGGATAAGCCCCCTGTTACCATTTCAGCATAAATATAATAATATAAAATGGAATCCTTGATTGTTGGTTTGCATTGAGTAGTATTTATAGATTGTGTTTATTGCAAACACATGGTTGAGCCTCGTTCTCGATTTCGTTGGTAATTAGTTATATCGCGTTGACGACTGGGTCCCTTTGATAAGAGAAGGCCTGGAAATCGCCCAAAAACACTTTCGCTCCCATTCACGTTCGCCCCCTTTCATGTTCGCACCCCGAGTCCGTTCTCACCCCTTTTATTGGTTTTGTGTTAAATATAGTGTCAATCGTTTTTTGGTTAGTGTATTGCTATAAATATTTTTTTGTTCATTGTTTCAAAATGAAGTGACTTTCTAAAAACTATTTGTGTGTTGAAATAATTTTTATACGACCGCAAAAAAATTTTGTGGTCGTATATTGGTATGACGTTGGCGTCGTCGTTCGAAGACACATTGGTTTTCGCACTGTAACTTTAGTTTAAGTGAATGGATCTCTATGAAATTTTACCATAAGGTTCAATACCACAGAAGGAAGGTTGGGATTGATTTAAGGGGTTATGGTACCAACAGTTAAGGAATTAGGGGCCAAAAATAAGCATTTTTGTAACTTCCAGACATAACTTGTGTGTTAGTGTATGGATCTCTCTGACATTGTACAACAAGGTTCCATATCACAAAGGGAATGCTTTGATTGATTTTTGGGGTAATTGCCTCAATATTTTAGGAATTAGGGGCTAAAAAGGGGGCAAAAACAAGCATTTTTCTAGTTTCATGACATTAACTTGTGTATAAGTCTATGGATCTTTCTGAAATTGTACTACAAGGTTCCATATCACAAAGGGAAAGCTGGAATTGAGTTTGGGGGTAATTGCCCAAAACATTTAGGAATAAGGGGCCAAAAAGTGGCAAAAAATAAGCATTTTTTCTAGTTTCCAGACAATAACTTGTGTTCAAGTGTATGGATCTCTCTGAAATTATACTGCAAGGTACCATACCACAAAGGGAAGGCTGGGATTGATTTTGGAGGTAATTGCCTCAAAGTTTTAGGAATTAGGGGCCGAAAAGGGGCAAAAAACAAGCATTTTTCTAGTTTAAGGACAATAGCTTGTGTGTAAGTGAATGGATCTTTATGAAATTGTACTACAAGGTTCCATGTCACAAAGGGAAAGCTGGGTTTGAGTTTGGGGGTAATTGCCCTAAATGTTATGGAATATGGGGCCAAAAAGGGGCCAAAAAACAAGCATTTTTCTAGTTTCCAGACAATGACTTGTGTTCAAGTGTATGGATCTCTATGAAATTGTACTGCAAGGTACCATACCACAAAGGGAAGGCTGGGATTGAGTTTGGGGGTGATGAATCATAAGGGGGTTCAAAAAATTTGGGGGGGGGATTTTTTTTCCTTTTTTTTTCTTTAGAATTTTCCATTTTAAATTGGTTATTTCTGATTTATATATAAAAGCAAATAATAATGATATGGTTTGAATAGGTAAATTAAAAATTTTTAAGTTCTTAGACCACATTCATTCTGTGTCAGAAACCTATGCTGTGTCAAATATTTAATCACAATCCAAATTCAGTGCTGTATCAAGCTTGAATGTTGTGTCCATACTTGCCCCAACTGTTCAGGGTTCGACCTCTGCGGTTGTATCAAGCTGTGCCCAGCGGAGCATTTTATTTAATCTTGTTTTGGTTTAAAAAGTGACTTTCTAAAAAGATTTTTTTGTGTTGAATGTTTTTTTAATGTTAAGATACCAAACCGCTATTTCACTCAACAACAATAACATTTTGAATCTTCATTGTTTTTACTCATACCAAGCTTAATACATGCTTACTACATGCAGAATTAACATCAAAGCTAGTTAAAACCACAATCACGATTTTCAAATACATAACAATAACACCAAATTTAGCTGTGTAAACACCATATAATTAACAGTAATCATACATAATTAACATATAATCATTAATCAAAAATATTTTGATATAAACATCTAAAAAACATCTAATAATTCATCAGGTTTTTGAATAAAAAAAAAAGGGTGCGAACGGATCCAGGGGGCAATTGTGTGGGGTGCGAACGTGTTTTGGGCACAAACGGACCCGATACCTGGAAAACGTATATAATAAATTAGGGATACCAGTAAACGGATGAAAACGTATATAATAAATTAGGGATACCAGTAAACGGATGAAAACAAGGTCGACGACAAATTTGTAACTTGTTCTCATAGATGCAATAAAATACCGGCTACAAGTTCCCAAACGATTTCAAATGTTCACTAGACCGATGGGGCAATCACCATTGCTTCTGCACATGTCCTATTAGATTTCGCAGACTGTAAGCTATCATAGATTTCACTTGATGTACACCCAGACAATTCTTTGACAGCTAGAAAATGTGACTGAATTTTACCATGAATATCAACATATCGAATAAAAATCATTAGAGTTGTTCTGTTTGAACAGTCAGTGCCCTCGTCAATTTGAATTGAAAAAAACCAGGATGACTTCACTGAAGACAAAATATTTGACTGAATTACATCACTTAATGCATCATAAATGTCATCAATTGAGTCATGGTGAGTATAATTCATCGGTACACCCCTTGGACGATCATCTTTGGAATTGGAGGTTGAGGAACCATCTTCACAGTTACTTGTTCCACCACCAGAAGCACTTGTGACTCTTTGCAGAGGTTTCAACTTGTCCGTTTGTACGTACGTCCCAAAATTGGTTTCCGTTCTCTAACTTATCCACAATGCTTATTACCACAAAACACAGATCAAGTTTCACTGTTTGAATTTTGGTGGTGTCACTTTTATCGTGCTTGAGTTATGCCCCTTTACAAATGGAAAAATTGCTGAATTTTTCGTTTCGATTCTCTAACTTGAGTTTGCCTCAACCAAATGTTATGAAACTTATGCACAATGCTAATAACCATAAAACACAGATCAAGTGCGAATTTTGGTGGCGTCATTTTTACCGTTCTAGAGTTATGCCCCTTTACAAATGGCAAAATGTTTCTGTTCTCTAACTTAAGTTTGCCTCAACTTAATGTTACGAAACTTATAAACAATGCTTATTACCACAAAACTCAGATCAAGTACTTTTACAGTTAAAATTACTGTATTCATTGTCTAGTCAATTGATAAACTGTTTTAAATTTGTTGATTCTGTAGTTTGATAAAGTGTTACATAATTTCAAATGGGTGTTTGTTCATTTTACATTATGAAAAACAAAAAGAACGGATATGGTTCAATGATACGAAGACATCACTAACTCACTTAAAGCAATACAAAGAGACATCGGATATGGTTTACCCATCGTCATGACACAAGATCAGTACATGAACAGGAAAAATAAAAAGAGCAAAGGAACAGCACTTTCATTGCTGATCTTCATATCAAAGTTACAGTGAGGATTTTAACGCAGAGCAAACACTCTCACCTCACTCCAAATTTTAGAGACTGTTGTTAGTGCCGGTTCGTATCATTCGACATTTCAGATAAAATTTTAAATTATACAGTTGGGGCAAGTTTGGAAACAATATTCAAGCTTGAATTTGAATTGTCTGAATTTGGATTGTGATCAAATTTTTGACATAATATACATGTAGGTTTCTGACACAAAATAAATGTGGTCTAAGATCTTAAGAAACTTGAAATGGGACATTTAATTTACCTAGTATGGTCTGATATCCAAAATCTAACAACATGGTTATATTCAGCACATAAAAAACACCAAAAATTTAATTTTAGTTGAAATCAAACAAAGTTGAATTATGGACCCTTCAAACCATAATATGGACTAATGTGAAAACAGGGCCCAATATAAAAAATCTAAATGCACAATAGGATTCAGCATATCATGGAGCTGCAATAATTCAGTTTTTGATGAAATCAAACAAAGTTTAATTTTGGATCCTTTGGACCTAAATTTAGACCAATTTAAAAATGGGGCCCAATATCCAAAATAGTAATACAAGGTTAGAATCCCCCAAAATTAAAGAATTTTAATTAATCCCATTGAAATTGGTTAAAAGATTTGTATTTATTTTCAATTGAAGATTTCTTGCTATTGCACAATACTGCGATATTGCACAATACTGTGCTATTGCGAAATTTTGAAAAATCTTGAAGAAAAAAAATATGAACCCCAAAAAAATCCCCTCCAAACTTTTTGATCCCCCCCTTGGAGTAATTACCCCCAAACTCAATCCCAGCCTTCCCTTTGAGGTATGGAACCTTTTATTACAAATTCAGAGAGATCCATACACTTTAAAAACACAAGTTATTGTCTGGAAACTAGAAAAATGCTTGTTTTTGGACGCTTTTTTTGTCCCTATTGCCTAATTCCTGAACGTTTGGAGCAATTACCCCCAAACTCAATCCAAGCCTTCCTTTTGTGATATGGAACCTTGTGGTACAATTTCAGAGAGATCCATACACTAACACACAAGTTATTATTCTGAAACTACAAA